AAATGCCAACATCCTATTTCGTCAAGGTCTTTTCCTATGGTTATACACAGCAGTGACTGATGTCTGTTATTATGTCCGGCCTAGAAACCCCTTGGATTCCCACAACAGGAGCTTATAAGAAAATGGTAGGGCAATCTTGGCATAACTTCACTGTAAAAACGTTTAAGTTATAAATGGCTTTTTCAGAATGGAGATAATGGAGGTTGATTATCATTCATGAGTTCTCCTCAGAGGTGGCACTGGGACAGCTTTTAATTTCAACCTGAACGGAGTCAGATGCAGAGAAACACATGCATACACACGCTGAAGGTGATTAAACTTACATTAAAGCAACCTCATAAATATTAAAGGAGTCCTGCAATGCAACTCTCTGCATTCAGCTCTGAAGCCAGCTAAAATGCATGAAAATCAGTCTCTAGTCATTGCACCTGTGGAGCTGTGCACCAGATGTGTTACTTAAAGATAGTTATTACTTTCACTATCATCCTGTGATAAGTGAGGGACACTGAGAACCTCAATAAAGTGGACCCAGGTCAAATGCCATCATTCAAAATGGTCATTTCTAGTGTCTGCTGCAGAGTCAAAATTATAAAATCCCTTCATAGCAAGGATTTTTCACAGGTTTGCTCTAGTGAAGAAAGATGCCAGCTTGTTTCCTCAGTCTTAAGGCCAATTTATGCTTCTGATGCAGTCTTTGCAACCATTAAATCTGTCTCTGTGTGTGACCACGACCCCTGCGCAGAGGTTCTGAAATCGTTGTCACGATTCTCAACAAGATCCTGACTATGCGTCGGATGGTCGCAAACCCGCACAGTCCTCAAGTGGAAGTGCGCAGACAAAAAGCAGCTGTGATTGGTCCTTGGTATGCCTTTGCGGCTGTCTGTGTGGTTGTCCTTCTCAATTCGGTGCTGGGATGCGCCATTTTTAAAAACCGAGGAACAGCTACAATGGCCAGCCTACGCGTCCACCTTTGTCTTTTAGCCAACTCCATTAACAGAACCTGTTCCTCTTCGATGTCTAGCAACTCAAGATCCATCTCCGTGACCGTCATATCTTGCAGTCGCGCCATTATTGGTTTAGGAAGATGAACACTCCCGGCACCACAGAAGTTCTCGTGACCATCCGCCGAAGTTCTCGCGAGTTCTCAAATAGGCTCCCCCTGGCGCTTTGGCGGCAGACTGCTGTGCTTCCCAAGAAATTCCAGACCGACAGTGAAGAAGCATACCAACAAAACTGTTTTGCGACCAGACCCAAGCAATATTTGATGTGTGCTGTTGCAGAAGTGTAATCTGCCCTTTAGGTGCTTTTCAGCGTGTTCTTCACCTTCCATATTTCCCTTGTCGGCTGTGCCAACAGGTTCTGGTTTTAATTATTATTCAGAAAATAATTTTTAAAAGTCTGTGGTTGTGCAGCACAATTCCAATAAAAATGTGTTGTCTTATTAATGTTCAGTACTTTAATGGTGTTTAACCCACATTTCCCTCATAACTTCCAGTTTCCATTATTACACTCCTCCAACATCTCCATGAGCTTCAGGATCTTGGTCACTAAGTTCAATATGGCATATGAACATAAAGATCCAATTATACACGATTTGCAAGCAGAAATTAGAAATGCATTCCAGCCAAACAAATACTGCATACAATAATCTTTGCAGCTGTCATTATGCCCTTCAGAGTTAACTATGTGTGCCTTTGTGTACACATTTGAGGTATTTTGCTGTTGTTTGAGGGTTTCTGACCACTGTCCTCCTCAGATATCTGATGTCATTTATAGCTTCCTCAGTCTACCAGCTCATGGTGGAATACCCTCTTTAGATTTTAAGCTTGCAAAATTAAATTTCACTTAGATCGCTAGCGGCGATCATATTTTTTTTACCATTTCCTTGTTTTAGCAGAGCATTGATCTCATCTCTAAACTCTGGATTATAGATTATTTCCTCTGGTATCAGCCTATAAAGAAAGGGTTCTAACTGAACTCTGCACCGGAAAAAAATCTAAATCTAAATAAGTCCTATTTTCTTAAAATAAGTGTGTTTGTTCTTGAATTGAGGAGGTAAGTGAGACACTTTGCCAATGGAACAAGACAATTTGCATTTAAAATAAGAAAAAACAATTGCATTGTCTTATTTCAAGTGCATATTATCTAATTATCTTATTTTAAGAGTAAAAATACTAATTCCATTGGGAAATCATCTTATTAACCTTCTCAAATTACACTTGATTTAAGAAATGTTGACTTATTTCCAGATCGTTTTTGCAGTGTGCACTCAGGGCAGAATAAACTGCGGCTACGCCTCAAAGAGGAGACTAAAAAGGCCGATGGAATCAGAAAACTGAGCTGGGACAAATAACAACTAAACCAGGATGACCTTCTTTTGGGATTTTGTAAAGGAAAAGACCTAAATAATAAAAAGTGGACAAAGTAGAGGGTGGAGACGGAGTCTACTGAGGAGCTGCTTGCATGCAATCTCCTGTTTTTTTTTTTTTCTTAGATTTAGCACATATGATATGTAACGACCCAATTTCATTGGCACACATCGACACTTTGCCAAGGTAAACATAATATCGCCTACCCTCCTTTTTTATGAGAAACACGCACGCAATGAGATACACTAACAGCTCGGCTGCTGTGGGAACAGAGGTAAGAGCTTTGAGCTGTAATTATATGCCTGGATTTGGGGTCAGTGTGAAAGGTAAAAGACTGGAGGGTTCTTAAACAAAAGGAGACAGAAGGGATGCCTGGGTGACCTGTATTTCTAGTCAACGAAGCAGGAGAAGTTAAACCCTTTTAGCAGCAGATATTTGATAATTTGATAACAGATCAACATAAAATAGTTCATAGTTGTTAAGTTGAAGAAAAAGTACACTGAATTTTGACATTTGTGTCATAGTGTAATATCACCCCAGAAATTATTAACATGTTTTTCTTCCTATGGCATATTCTTCTTTTTTGTCAATTTGAGCTTATGTAAGGAGTGAATTTCTCCACTGTGAGATCAATAAAGTCAATCAACCAATCAATCAATATACAGGTTTTTAAGGCTGATGCCAGTACCGGTTTTTAAACATCAGGCTAACCAAACCCCCAATATGTGCTGCCGACTTTTTGGGGCTGATTCATGAAGCCAAATTGGCCTTTTGTCCTTCCTCCATTAAAGCCCAGAGTACACTGTGCGATTTTCCAGTGCAAGAATCTTTCGATCGGGCCGACTTACAGTCTGATTGCGCGTCGTGAGTTGTGTAGTGTACAAGGGGTTACGAGCGGCGATCAGCCTCTGACGACCTCCTCCCAATCAGGAATCGTGAGGTCGGGAGAAAATCGTTTTCGTTGGCAAATCTCTCAGGGCGCATGCACAAACAAGGATTCTTCTTTTTATTCTTCCTCTCAGATGTAAACACAGCAGTGTGGCAGGGATGCAATGAGTGAAATTAGATCTTTCTGTTAAATTCACGTAGACAGTAGTAGCCACCTTTGCTCAGCCATGTGTTTTTTTTCCAAATATGTTGTCGCATTTTCTTTTTAGGGCTTTCAGCACAAAATTGCACAAATTGCCAAGGCGGTGCGTTTCACTATAGTGAGCTTAATATTCCTCTTGTATTTGTTTGGCTTCCGGATAGACGAGTCGGAATAGCTCCATCTCACTGCAATGCTGAGTCCGACGTGGTTTTTAGTCGTACAATGTGATCAGGTAGATCGCATCAGAGCGTCGGGCCGAACATAAATGGTGAGCTGTGAACTCACACTGCACGACTAAACCCTGCATTTAGTCGTGCAGTGTGAGCAGCAGCTGTGTGCAACGATTGGAAAAAATTCGCACAGTGTTCGCCCGGCTTTACATAACAACAAACAAAACAAAACAAAAAAAACAGAATGATTAGAAATGTTACACAAATTTAAACAGAAATGAAACATTTAAGAAACAAATCAAAACATAAAAAAATCGATCAAATGGAGGGAGCAGCAGCAATGCATGCGCCTCATTTGATCGTAAGGCATGGATACTGAATGAACTAATGAATCTGTAATTGCATGCACATATTGGCTGATGCAGATACAAGAAAATCAGCCCAGAATATTGTCCCACCTCAACACCCAAATATTAATATAGCTGTCAAACAAAGGCTGTTGGAGAATATTAAATGAGCACACTAGTTTAAGATTAATGGGTGGATAAGTATCAGGGTGATAAACAGCACTCTAAGCTTTAGGGATCTTATAGACTTTTCCAGTTTAAAAAACAACAACAAAAAACAAGCATGTCCTTTTTGAATAGTTTTTCTTATCCATCTATAAATTCAGTTATTCTGCAAAGCCCTTAAAGGTTTGCTGGAGGACATTAGTGAAGAAAACAGCATTATAAAATCAACAGCAAACAGGTTATAGAGATCGCCATGGAGACACTTCAAGCAAGATTAGGTTGTAAGACAATATCCCCAACTTTGACCAACTCATAGAGCACCGTTCAACTCGGTAGGAGCTCACATGGAAGCATCTGATAGCTGATATTGTAGCCGTTGAACCCAAAAACCTAGTCTTTGTGGAAGTGTAGCAATAAAAAAAAACAAAAGCTACTGTATATCAGCCAGCTATGAGAAAAAAACGTTTTTTAATAAAAGCTATTCAGGTATTAGAATGGCGCAGTAAAGGTCAAGAACTTTTCCTTTTCCGACAATTTTCTACATTTTTTTAAGTTAGTTTGGAAATCATTTCTAAAGTGTCTAAAAATCCTGTTTTAAATCAAATTTAACAATAATGCTAATCAGCACAGCATTATTTGGTTTAAGGTTATTATAAGATTAATGCAAAACAAATTCCAACTTTAGAGTGAAAACAGGTATAACTTTCTATTGTGCTGCATTTAACAGCACAGAAAAAGCAGAAGAGATTTGGTACAAACCCCAGTAACTGCAGATCATATTCTGGGATAAACAACGCCACTGTTTATTAAAGGGTTCTTTCCCTTCTTGTCTGAGCAGAAAACTCTGACAGAAACACACCAGTAGTCGTGGAAACGCACGCTCTCTATGCTGAAGGGCGAACGCAGATCTTCGACGTTAGGCATGTTGCCTCTCCTCCATTCCAGCTCGTTCGGCTTCGCTTGGATGATTCGAGAGACATTTAATTATTGAAATGCAATTAAGGTATTAATGCTCTGAGGGAATAAGCAGTGCAAACACACACACATCACAGGATAACAGGAAGGAAACAGAAGGTTATCAGCAGGAATAAAGTGCAGAATCAAGCGCATAATGTTTTAATTCATAAGGATTAGGATTTAAACTTATACTCTTAATTTCCTGAATATGAAATGGCAACTATAGGCCTGAATGGGGACATTATTTTAAATGACATAGAGGAAGAGATTAGAGGTGGATTGAGACTATGAGGCAGGAGAAGCAGCACTTTATTATTAGATGCAAATTTTTCTGATGATTTTGAATAAATTGCATCAATTATTCCACTTTTAAACAGTATGTAAATATATTTTAAGTGCCTAAAACAGAAAACTCTCTTATAGAGACATATCCTTTTGTAGCTTAGTTATTCCAAGCATTGATCAAGCATAATGGGAATACTGCAATTACCTGCAGGAGGAAAAATAAATAAATAAATAAACAAGTGCATGAACTGTTGTGGATGTGTTTGGGTGGGAATAAGGTTCATAATCAGGCTGATCTTCACATATTTTCTCAATCCTCCTTTGGCTGCATTTCAAGGACAATAAACCCACGGAATCCACAGAAATGATTTAAGTGGGGAAAATAAGAGGAGGAGAAGCGCAGTAATCAAGGATCAAACCTCCCTTATTGGTGAAACACATGGTCAGTGATAACCAGCGTCCCATTTTTAACCAACAGCTCCCACATGTTGATAACGCCTATCTCCTCATTTAATACCATCAAATTCCCACACCTTAATAAATAACTCATCCTTGGTTTAAACTCCTATAATACGTTATTTCATGAAAGAAAATAAACAAGCTAGAGAGCTGAGACACCGATGCGACAAATAATGTCAGTGAATGTGAATAAGCATCATCAGAATGTCAAATAAAAAGCGTCTCTTACCGTTAAAGGGCGGAAGGTAGAGTAGGATGGATGGATAAGTGAGATCTCTCTCATCCGCAGCTCGCAGCTTGTTCATTTGCCGCAGACTCCGCCCCCTTCTATCTGATTGGTCCACAGCAAATGAACCAAAGAGTCAGGATGTGGAGTGAGATAGATCCCCGCTTCCTGTTTCCCTCAGGAGTCGTGGTCGTTGCATTCATAGATATATCTATGGTTGCATTTCTCTAGTCTGTGTTTACCAACCTTTTTTTTTACTTGTTTCCGACCTTTAAGCATTTTTTTGCCATTAGTTCCCCTCTCAGTCAAAAGTATTGATAATTGTCCAAAAGTTGAACATATTTATTATAAAATAAAGACTATTTTTACTTTTTTTTTTTTTATTTGAGCATTTAATTCTTGTTATGTTATGCTTTCCATCTCAAATAATAATTAAAAAAAAATGCTAAATATGTTGCCTGGAAGATAGTAAGGATTCCAAATTAATAAAAAACAAAATCATATTATAAACCTGTATTTATAAAGCTGGAGCTCCTCTGAGTAACTCCCTTATAATCACATTTAAACTGGATGAATTGGGTACAAAATACAGAAAAAAAATTATAGTCAGACTGACTTAATTAGTTTTACTTTGTTTTCATCAATACAGCTAAGATGCTTTGATGAGGTCTGATAGCTCAGTGTTAGGGTTGCCAATTCCCTGGGGGAAAAAAAGGGACACCTCATGTGCGTGCCAGCTTACCTGATTGCCTTTACCCCTCCTGGGGTGGTGATTTTTTTTAGTCCCCCTTTGTGTGTGAAATAATTTTTTTAACTACTTAAGGGTAGTAATACTTAATACTTAAGCCTACCCTTACTACTTTTAAAGGTAGGCTTAAAACTTTCCTTTTTGATAAAGCTTATAGTTAGAGTGGCACAGGTTATCCTGAGCCATCTCTATAGTTATGCTGCTATAGGCTTAGGCTTCTGGAGGACATAGGGACCCCTATTTCATCATTTTTGCTTCATTCTATCTCTATTCTTCCACTCTGCAGAATCTGTTAGTTTAATCTCTGATGTTATGCTCCCTTTGCCTTTTCTCATAGTAGCTTTGCCTCATTTGTAGAAATTTATAGACTTTATAGAAATAAACTGAATTGAATTTAATTAGATGCATATTTGTGAGTGACTTGAACACATGGAAAATAAATTGTTATCCAGTAATTCACTTAATTAATACAAAATAACAAACTTTGTTGAACAAAATAAGTATGTTAAACATAAGCCTGTCCTGCTTAATTTCAATCTGCAAAAATTTATATAAAACAATAAATAAATAGTGCACATTTTTGGTGCAACAGCAAACTGCAACATATTACAAACTTGTAAACATATTTGTGCCTTAAATGCAATGACTGTAGTTGTAAAACAGAAATAAAAAAATCATTACCTCAATGCCACATTATGTGGCGATAGTTGATTTTTTCCACTTGCATTTCCTCTGAGCTCTTGCAGCAGTGAGGAGTTGTTTGTCTTCTAGTGCTGCACAGTAAAACTCTGAGCAAGACAGTTGATAATTGAGGCTGACGATTAGCGCAGCTTTAATTAATTCAGTGGAACATTTGTTCCCCACATCAGTCCATTTGTTCTTCATTAAGGAGAAAATCCTCTCCACAAAACCAGTGGAAGATGGGATGCTGAGGACAAAGGACACAGCAGCTTGGATTTTGGGAAGGTCAGCTCCCCAAATAACCTCCATCCACCTCTCTGCTGTTCCTTTGGACTGCCAGGATTCCTTTTTCCTGAGTGAGATGTTCCAGAAGACTGTTTGCAGTTGCACATTCTTCATACAGATCATCCATGGACATGCTCAGGCTGCTCTGTTGTCTCCCGCTTTCTTCTCCGTGATTCTATTGTGAATCGTATTCTGGATCATTACATATATGTTGTCAGCTCATTGGTCATAATGCAGGACAGGGCCCGGAAATAAGTTTACCGTAAGTTTTATATCTAACGTGCCCTTGTTCTTTTATTTTTTTTTTTTACAAAGTTCCTTCCTTTTCCACTAAATACTGGACAGGTACTTCTATTTCTAAGTACGGAACAATTCCATTTTTCAAGGTTCGGTTGGTGACCCTACTCATTGTGAAACACAGCTGATACCAGGCTGTTTTCTACATCCACTCTGTTCCTGTGTTTGGTTTGGATGTGCGTCAAAGCTGAAGGTGAACTCAAAACATATAAGAAAAACTTACTTTTTGGTTGACAAAAGCTTGTTAAATTTTCCTCACAAAGCAAAACAGAACCCAGAACTATTTTACTGCCCAAGAAATAAAATATGCACTTGCAGACCACTAGGAGTCCGCGTACCCCTGGTTGGAAAACACTATTCTAGATAGTTACAAAAATTATAAGATTTCTACTATTTCAAACCATAGAAAGTAACTTTATGTTTTATAGAGGGCTCCTTATCTAAGATATTAGTCACTTTACCCACTTTCTGTAGGTCAAATTCCCCCACTACTCTAAAGGTATAATGGCTGTTGTAAGGTCCAGCTTGTGGTTTTCCTTGGCTTGAATAAAAAGAGAATATTACAATACAATATTACAGCAGGAGTTTTAAAGATATAATTCTGAATAATTTCAAAATAATTGTTTAGTGTTTCAACAGTAGTAATAAAGTGCTTTAAAAATCATAACTTTTAGTGTTATGAGCAAAGAGACATGAAGTTCTATTTTGATTTTTACTGACATAGATATGATTTTTATACTCAGAATTTTAACCTTTGAATTAAAAGTATGTTGTTTTTTTTAAGTTTCACCACATGTAAGGAGGATAGTTGCAAAGTTGTTAAAGATTTAAGAGCCACCAAGAAAGGTGGTTTGAGAGGGGTGAGAAGGAAGCCATCTATGCTAAGAAAGAAAAAACAACCTTAAACAGAAAGGTTGGACTCAGATTTCAGCTTTCAAAAACCTACAATTCAGCAATTGAGTTGATCCCTTCCCGCTATGATCGCAGCCCCAACTCTTTGTAGGGGAACAGATGACCTCCTCTATTCAGCCAGGCCAACAATTCCCTTTAACGACACACCTTTCAAAGACAAAGGCAGGTACGGGGCATTGCAGGCTACCACAAGAAGCCAAATGACCAACATTCCAAAGGGGTGGATCCGGCTACTGTATAAAGCCTCGAACTCAACGCTATTTCTGACATTTTGAACTGAAAAAGCCTCCTGGATGGGAAGGCCTTGGCAGCAGCATGTGATGACATTCTACAGTTGTTCCTTTTCAATGTACTGCACTGTTGTTTACAGTTGGGCCCAAAGTTGCGTTGTAAAATATATTTTATTTCATTTGTGTTGTTTCGCAGAATTGTGTGGAGTCTAGACTACTTAGAGTTGAAAATAGCATATGCTGTAGAAATACAAAATAACATCATATTACGTCTCACTGAATATGTAGCAGATTTCTCCTGAGCATTTTCACGTGGTGTCACCAAGACCTGACTTTTTGCATAGGGAAACATTTACAGCGTAACCTATCATATTCAAGAGATGACAAAGCTGTTCAAATATGCTGTTCATTAAAAATGGTGTTCATCTTGATGACACTGACAGATTCTTGCTTTTGAGGAATGACATATCCATTTTGAGTAAGTGACATCATTTTGAAGGTTATCAACCGGGTTTTGTAGTTTGTACTAACTAAAAAAAAAAAAAAACTGCATTCACTATTGCAATGTAAAGATATTGAGATATATACACCGAAGCTACTTTGAACAACTAAAATCTGATGTAAACTGATGTGTGAATAAAACATTTATTACAGAGATTATTACTGCCATTTAAGCAGCTTTATTTTCTTTCTCTGAATCCAATTGAGAGTTTCCTTGGCTGTGTCTTTGGGGTCATTGTCTTTCTGAAAATTCCACCCACATTTCATCTTCATCATCTTGGTAAATAGCAATTACATTTATCTTTGCTTCAATTATTTGAATTTTGTCAGTACCATATGCTGAAGAAAAGCCCCACAACATGATTTTCCCACC